AGTGCCCTTATAAGAGTCATGAAAGAGCTTATTTCCTTTCTCTGCTCTCCACCATGTGAAGATACAAGAGTTTAGCAGTCTGCAACCCAGAAGAGGGCCCTCACCCAAATCCAATTATGTTGTCACCCTGATCTCAGATTTTCAGAACCCAGAGGTGTAAGAAATAAATTTCTTTTGTTAATAAGGCACCTTGTCTACGATAATTTGTTATAGTGACTCAAACTGACCAAGCTACTAGGTGTAGTTTTTTTAGGCATTTATTTTGCTCAGTGTTCTCTAAGCCACTTTGATCTGTGGTTTGATATCTGACATTAATTTGGGAGAATTCTCAGTCATTATTGTTTCAAATATTTTTTCTATTTCTTTATTTCTTCCTTCCCCACCCCCTGTCTTTGTGTCTCTCTCTCTCGGTGTCTTTCTTCTTTTTTTGGTATTCCTATTATACCTATGTTATACCCTTTTGTAGTTGTCCCGGTCCTTAAATATTCTGTTTTTTTCAGAATTTGTTCTCTTTGCTTTTCAGTTTTGTGTTTGGTTTTTTATGAGACAGGGTCTGACTCTGTTGCCCAGGCTGGAGTACAGTGGCACAGTCTCAGCTCACTGCAACCTCTGCTTCCTGTGTTCAAGCCATTCTCCAATCTCAGCCTCCTGAGTAGCTGGGACTACAGGCATGCGCCACCACTCCCAGCTAATGTTTGTATTTTTGGTAGAGATGGGGTTTTACTATGTTGGCCAGGCTGGTCTTAACCTCCTGACCCCAAGTGATCTGCCCACCTTGGCCTCCCAAAGTGCTGGGATTACAAGTGTGAGCCACTGTGCTCAGCCTGCTTTTCAATTTTGATGCTTTCTATTAGGATAAACATCAAAATCAGAGATTCTTTTTTTCTGCTATGTCTGGTCTACCAATAAGGTCATCAAAATCATTTTCATTTCTGTTACAGTGCTTTTGATCTCTAGCATTTCTTTCTGGTTCTTAGAATTTATATCTCTATGCTTATATTACCTATCTATTCTTGTATGGTGTCTACTTTACCCATCAGAGACTTTAGCATCTTAATCTTCTTAATCATGGTTGTTTCAAATTTCTGGTATGAGAATTCTAACATCCCTACCATATGTGAGTCTGATTCTGATGCTTGCTCTTCCTCTTCAAACTGTCTGTATTTGTTTTTGTTTTGTTTTATTTTTTGCCTTTTCCACACGCCTTATATTTTCTTGATATCTGCAAATGCTGTGCTGAGTAAAAGAACTGCTGCAAATAGGCCAATTTTTTTTTCTTTTTTTTTCTTTGTTTTTTTTTTTTTTTTTTTTGAGACAGAATTTCCCTCTTGTTGCCCAGGCTGGAGTGCCATGGCGCAGTCTCAGCTCACTGCAACCTCTGCCTCCCGGGTTCAAATGATTCTCCTGTCTCAGCCTCCTATATTGATAAATCAGTCTCCTGAGTAGCTGGGATTACTGGCGCCTATCACTATGCCTGGCTAATTTTTGGTATTTTTAGTAGAGATGGGGTTTCATCATGTTGGCCAGGCTGCTTTTGAACTCCTGATCTCAGGTGATCTGCCTGCCTCAGCCTCCCAAAGTGCTGGGATTATAGGCATGGGCCACTGCCCCCGGCCTTTTTTTTTTTTTTTTTTTTTTTTTGAGATGGAGTCTTGCTCTGTCACCCAGGCTGTAGTGGCCCAATCTCGGCTCACTGCAACCTCCACCTTCCGGATTCAAGCAATTCTCCTACCTCAGCCTCCTGAGTAGCTGGGATTACAGGTGTATGCCACCACGGCCCAGCTAATTTTTGTATTTTTAGTAGAGACAAGGTTTCACCATGTTGGCCAGGCTGGTCTCACTGACCTCAGGTGATCTGCCTGTCTTGGCCTCCTAAAGTGATGGGACTACAGGTGTGAGCCACCACACTCAGCCTAAAACTTTTTGTGAGACAGAGTTTTGCTCTGTCACCTAGGCTGGAGTGCAGTGGCATGGTCATGACTCACTGCACCCTCCACCTCCTGGGTCAAGCAATCCTCCCACGTCAGCCTCCTAAGTAGCTAGGACTACAGGCACATACCACCATGCCTGACTAGTTTTTCTGTATAGACAAGATCTTACTATGTTGCCCAGACTGGTCTTGAACTCCCGGGCTCAAGCAACCATCCCTAGGCCTTTAGAAATGTGGTATCAAGGTATGGGGGAAGGGGAAGCATTCTATAGTTCTTTGAGTAGGTCTCAGTCTTTTAGTCAGTCTATATCTCTGGATTGGAAACTTCACACCTTTCTCAGTTTCCCCTACCCCCCTTTGGTGGGACAGGATGACTAGAGTGGGCTAGAATTGGATATTTCCCTTCTTCCATGTGGGAGGCTAGAGATGACTGGAGTTGGGTATTTCCATTTCCCAAGGTCTGTTAGGTCCTGATAAAAGTCCAGCAGGTTAGGCTCTGGTTAAATAGTTTTGTTTTTTTTGTTGTTGTTGTTTTTTTCTAGATACTTAATTCTCACTTCCATCTGACTCAGTTGTTCACAATTCCCTTTAGATCCTCCTTATGTCACTTGCCAGGTTGTGTTCTCAGAACCATTACATTACATTATTAACTCATTTAATCTTCATGACAATGGGTGGAAGGAGTCACTTAGGAATAATATCAAGGGACAGCAGGAGGCACCTAAATACCTAGTTTTACAAACTTCACAAGAATGTTCCCTCCCTCCCTCCCTCCCTCCCTCCCTTCCTCCCTACCTCCCTTCCTCCCTTCCTTTCTTCCTTCCCAGAGTCTTGCTCTGCCGCCCAGGCTGGAGTGCAGTGGCACCATCTCGGCTCACTGCAACCTCTGCCTCCTGGGTTTGAGCGATTCTCCTGCCTCAGCCTCAAGCCCTTGCCATTACACCCAGCTGATTTTTTTGTATTTTTAGTAGAGATGGGGTTTCACCATGTTGGCCAGGCTGGTCTTGATAAGGTTATACCTTATCAGTGGATGGAAACTGATTTAGTTTCTATTTTAAGTATGAAGAGACTGGATCCCAGAGATGTTGTCATTTGTAATACGGAGATGTATACAAGATCAGGCAGAGGAGCTAGAGAGCACATATACACATATGCCCCAATCCAAAAAATACCACAGTGAGATAGTATAGGAAAAAGACTGAACTGAGAATAGAAAGGGATTCTAATCCTAGTTTTGCCATTTGCTAGTTGTGAAACTTTAATAACATCTTGGGCCTGTTTCTACAGCAATTAAGAATATGTGCTCCTGTAGTTAAATCAAGTGAATGACCTTGGGTGAGTTACTTAACCTCTCTGTGACTATTTACTCTTCTGTAATGTGTTAATAATAATTCGTTCATTTCAAATAGCAAAATTCTTGACAATCTCATGATTTCAGCAAACAAGATAATCTTTTTTTAAGTGAGAGTAGCAAGACAAAGCTGGGCATGCCATTGGTAAGGAAACAATAAACATTTAAAAAGAGTGATTATTGAGGCAGGAAAATAAGGCCTGGAGGCAGGGAATATACAGCTGGTGCACACTTCAGGTATAACAGGAAATATCCTCTCCATATGGCTTACACCATAAATGACTTTGTAACTTTACTTCATCCTCTCCATTTACATAGGGCTTACAAAAGTAACCAATTGAATCCTCTAGAGGGTATTTAAACGCCCAAAACTTCTGTACCGGTATCTTTGAGTTCCTATGCTTGGTACCCTGTGGAGTGTACTTTCACTTTCAATAAATCCCTTTGTCTCTTCCTTGCTTTGTTTGTGCGATTTGTTCAATTCTTTGTTCAAGATGCCGAGAACCTGGACTCCCTCCACCTTTAACAATTATGACACTTTACAGCTGCTACAGTATCATTTTGGTAGAAATATTGCTTGACGTTAAGTTTGCAGCAGCCTGTCAGTGTCATTGAGTCTGGTTAATAGCAGGGCTGATTTTTGCCTTCTCAAATGCGATAAAACATGTAAAGTACTTAGAAGACAGCCTGATATACAGTGTGTGTTTAATTGTCTATTTTTATTGTAAAATAAAGGTGTCTGATTTTTCTGGGGCCCTGTGATTTTTAATTAGTGGTTTAATGTTTGTGTGTTATAAAAAGAGATAATGAGAACCTGTTTTTGTCCTTTGCTTACTAGAGAGCTGTCAATGATGTAATGCAGAGGAACTTTACTGCATACAAATTATTCAAGTTATACCCTAGTCACAGTGAAAGTGTCACATAGATCAGACTCTCCAGCCGCCATGCCTACACCTCCCAATTAGGATCTCAGGCCTGTGCTAGCCACGTCCCAAACCCTAAATCTCTCCAGCCGCAGACAGCACTGGGAAATGTATTTGCGTGCAAGAGCCAGCCAGCCCACAGCCAGTCAAGCGTACTTCAATTCGGACAGGTAAACCCTTTGTCAGCGCGCTCCTCCGCGTACTGAGTGTCAGTTGCACCTCTTACCTGATAGGTGGGTGGGCACTCGCCTGTGGAGGAGCCTGAAGCTTCCAGGGGTGCCTTGCTATTTCAGAAGAAAGCGGCCAGAAGGAGCGGGTGGGGAGCACTGTAGAGGTGGGAGTGGAGGCTCACTTTTATACCTGCCCTTGTCGCTTATTCCAAAAGGCGTAGGGGAGCCCGGGACGCGCCCTCCAGGGCACTGGGCGTGCAGTGTATCCTGCGGGAACCCGAGCCAGCTCTGGGCCATGTGGGGTTGAGGGTCGTGGAAGGTTTCTAGGCGCAGGAACGGCGGCGACTGTGGCTACTGACACTAAGAAGGGTCCCCGGGAGTTTTGCGAGGAATTATTCAGAGGGTGACGACGGCCAGCGGGCGCTGGTTATAAAATTCCAGGCTCAGCCCGGCCTCCAGAGGTCAGAAATAGGTGGTTGCCTGAGACAGAGGGACGAGGCGAACTCCCGGAGAGCCACAAACTGGAGAAGCCGCTCCCGCTGACTGGGACCAGGGACTCTCCCAGAAGAGGCCGAGGGTCACTAAGGAAATATAACCGTGGTAGTGCAAGGAACGGAACCTGCGTGATGTCACAGTGGCTGGAGCAGGTAAAGTGGAGGCTACGGCTTTGCCTGAAGAGAAGTAAGAAATAGCTCAACAGCGAGTGTGTTCTGGGAACTGATTTGAGGAAAGAGAGCTTTCCCTTTCCCCACGTGAAGGCTGAGGAAAACACACACACACACACACACACACACACACACACACACACACACACGAGTTTTCGTGTGAGAAATTGGGAAGAAAGCGAAATTTCACGCTTGTGTAGTAGGGGCTGTATGAAGACGACCAAAACCCCTCTCAGGGTCACTTCAAATGTACGCACCTCTTTCCCCACGCCAGCCTTTTATCTATCAAAGTACAATGGAAACTGCCTGGTTTGGTTAATTAATTTTAAAATTATCATACAATAAAATTGACATGGGGGAGGCATACTGTTCTGGAACATGTTTAGATTCGGGTAACTACCACCAGAGGATACAGAGCTGTTTCATTCACTCCAGAAAACTTCCTTGTGCTACCCCTTTATATTTACACCCTTTCCCCACCCTTAGCCCCCGCAGCCACTGATTGTTCTCCATCTCTATAGTTTTGTGTTTTCCAGAGTGCCATATAAGTGGAATAATACGGTGTGTAACATTTTCACACTGGCTTCTGTCTCTCAGTATGAAGCCTTTAAGGTGGCCACATTATTGTGTCACTTTCTTATTTTTTGCTGAACATTGTTATTGCTAAATAATATTGTATATAGATGTATCAGTTTTTTTTTTTTAATCTCACCTTTTGAAGGACATTTGTATCATTTCCAGATTTTAATAATTATAAATGATGCTGCTGTAAATGTTCACCTACAGGTTTTTGTGTGAACATACATTTTTCTTGAGCCTGGATTTTGAATCCAAACAGGTCCGAATTTGAATTCTCGCTTTGAAACTTATTGGCTCTGTGGTAACCTTAGGCAAGTTATTTAACCTTTTGGGGGGATTTAACTTTCATAGTTAAATTGTTGTGAGGCTAAATTACCCAATATATCTCAATAGTTTTCAACTCTTTCAGACCAAGCAGGCTCTTTGTATAACAAGTATTTTGTAATGCCCCCATTTCTATCCAGAAATAAAAATTCATTACCTTGGCAATAAGCCTAACCTACATATTTTAAAGCTATATGATGCCCTAACTCTAACAGTAAAGGAGAAATGAAAGAGAACACACTGCAACTCAGGTTGATAAAATGATCGAATCTCAGTAAAATTCAGAACAAAGTACCTTGATTTAGACCATAGTTGTCCTTATAGAAGATCATCATATATTAGCACTGGAAAAAAAAAAAAGAAGAAGAAATGAAAAAGACTCTGTGGTTGTACGTGAAAAAAGAGTTAGGTTCTAGGCTCCGATAATTATCAATAGAATTTTTACCCATCTGAATGTCCTGCAAAACTTTAAAAAATTGTTTGGAATTGTCCTGTGCTGAAGGACATCTGGGATCCCTGACTCCTACAAATTAAATGCCAGTAGTTATTTCCTCCACTCAATGTAAGGACCAGGTCCTGTCTGTTGAGTTCCTCTGGTTTATGTGAAACATTCAGTATAATAACTAGCTCATGGCCGGGCGCGATGGCTCACGCCTGTAATTCCAGCACTTTGGGAGGCCAAGGCGGGTGGATCACGATTTCAGGAGATCGAGACCGTCCTGGCTAACACGGTGAAACCCTGTCTCTACTAAAAATACATACAAAAAAATTAGCCAGACATGGTGGTGGGCACCTGTAGTCCCAGCTACTGGGGAGGCTAAAGCAGGAGAATGGCGTGAACCTGGGAGGCAGAGCTTGCAGTGAGCGGAAGCTGGCGCCATTGCACTCCATCCTGGGCAACAGAGCGAGACTCTATCTCAAAAAATTAATAAATAAAAATAAAAAATAAAATAACTAGCTCATGGCAGCTGCAAGCAATAAGATTCTGAACCTCCAAGAGGACATTCTCCATTGCTTGGGTCTTTCAGGAGCTGGTTTTAACAATTTCATTTTCTTATAAACTCGTGCTTCTTAGCTCGCATCAGAGTCACCTGGAGGATTTGTTAAACACATCGCTAAACTCACCACCAGAGTTTCTGATTCAGTAGGTCTGGGGTTGGGCCTACTAATTTGCATTTCTGGCAAGTTCCCAGGTGATGCTGTTGCTGCTGATCCACGGACGATAGTTTGAGAAGCAGTGTCCTAAACCTCTTCTTTCAAATGTTTAAATTCAGAGGGTCTTTTTCAAATCTTACATCTTGCTTATTCCCTACAAAGTTCTATAAAACAAGAGGAACAGATACTCTTATCCCTATTGTTTTGTTACCAAACAAAGAGTCGAGGAAATTAGTGACTTGCTTAATGCTGTACAGCATTTTACTAACTCAGATATTAGAATCTAGGGTTCTTCAATCCCAGTGGAGTGTTTATTCCATTAACCAACACTGCCTCTGATAATAAGGGCAGTATGCCTTATGTTGAGAGGATTTGCCAACCAATTTCTCCTATATACTTGAAAAACAAAGGGCAACAGCATTATTTTATAACATTTAAAGATAAATTCCTCATTTTTACGCTCTATTAGCTTACACTGGCCTCCTTGTTCTTAGGTCATGACAAGGATATTCTAACCTCAAGATTTTGTTTGCAGACTTTGCACTTGCTGTTTTCTCAGTCTGCCCACAGATATCTTTATGGCTTACTCTTTTTTCACAAGTCCAATAAAAATGTTTCCTTCTCAGAAAAGTTTTCCCTGGCCATGTCATCTAAAATAAAGGCCTTGTTTATCCTTTTATTCTACTTTTTTGGGAATATGTTCATCACTACTTGAGTTTATACATGCTTGTATAGTTTGGTTTAGTTTTGCTTTTTTTTTTTTTTTTTTTGCTGCCCCTCTCATCGGGGATTATTCTGTCTCATACTTGTTGCATCCCCAGTGCCTATAAGAGTCCTTATTACAGAGCTGAATGAATGTGATAATTCAATATGTTAAAAATCTAAATTATGAATTTGACACAAATTTTAGCCTATTCATTTCACCAAACATATCAAGACTTACCATATATATGCCAGGCACAGTTTTGTTATTAGGAATATAAATATGGGAAAATCTTGATTCATGTGTAGTGGTGGGGATGGCAAAAGATACTCCAAAAGATAATTTCAAAACAGGTAGTAAATGCTATGATAGCATCTAGGTAACTGCTCTTGTTATCTGGAACCTACTTAAACCATGGATGGTGTCTTAGACTGCTTCTACTGCTGTAAAGGAATACCTAAGTTGGTTAATTTAGAAAGAAAAAAGGCTTATTTGGGTCATAGTTCTGTAGATTATATAAAAAGAATGGCTCCAGCATCTACTTCTGGTGACAGCTTCAAGTTGCTTCCATTCATGGTGGAGGGTGAAAGAGAGCTGGCATGTGCAGAGACTACATGGCAAGAGAAGAAGAAAGAGAGAGTGGGGAGAGGGACCAGCCTCTTTTTAACAACTGGCTCTAGCCTGGCGCAGTGACTCATGCCTGTAATCCCAGCACTTTGGGAGGCCAAGGTGGACAGATCATGAGGTCAAGAGATTGAGACTATCCTGGCCAACATAGTGAAACCCGTCTCTACTAAAAATACAAAAATTAGCAGGGAGTAGTGGTGGGCACCTGTAGTCCCACCTACTCCAGAGGCTGAGGCAGGAGAATCACTTGATCCCGGGAGACGGAGGTTGTAGTGAGCCAAGATTGTGCCACTGCACTCCAGCCAGGATGACAGAGAAAACCCTGTCTCAAAAGAGAAAAAGAGAGAAAAAAAAAGATAAAAGCAAACTTTTAAAAACAAATTTTAATTTGCCCAATTATTTCTAAATGCTCTGTATTTCTTTTTGGGAATCAGAATTTCTATCTGGTATGATTTCCCTTCATCCAGAACTTTCTTAATTATTTCTGCATTAATCAGACAAAATCCACAGTGGCACTCCATCCATTTAGCCACTCTAGCCAGAGTCCAGAAATTCACCTTTATAATCCCTTTCTCTTCATCTGCGTTTTCAGTTTGCCATCAAACCTTGTCAAATTTATTTCCTAAATATATTTCAAATCTATCACTTCTTTCTGTCTTTACTCACTTTATTTTTAATCCGTGTCCTCATCATTTCTTGGCTAGATTCCTGGAGCATCCACACAAATATTTTTTCATGTCCATTTTGGTCGTTCTACTTCTACTTATTCCACCTACTGCCCAAAGTGTCTTTTGCAGCTCTCAAATTTGAATTTGTCACCTTTTTGCTTACGACTCTTAAATGGCTTCCTAATGCTGTCAGGATAAAGATGCCACACTTTTTGCATGGCCTGTGAGCCTCATGTGACTGGACTCTAATTTTCAGTCTCAGTTCTTCCCCCATTCTTCATGTATACCTTCTTTGCTCTATTCACAGTGGCCTTCTTTCAATCTCTCTTCCTCCCTATTCCCCCGTCATGATGGTGACTTCACACTTGCTATTTCCTCTGCTTGGTGTGGTTTTCTTTAAAGATTTGATATGTTGATATTGTGAGTCAGCCTAGCATAAACTCAATTAATATTAGCTATAAACCAAAAACTTCATCAAAGTTCTTTCCCTTTTTTCTAAGACGTGAAATGATAACTCTGAAGACAACATGTGCAGACAGGAGAAAATAGATAAACAATGTGCAGCACTGCTATTAAGTGCTAAAATTACAAGTTAAAATAGTAAGTTGTAGGAAATCAGGGAAACTGGAGAGTAAGGAATGTTGTGGAACTAGTGTCATTTGAGTGACACTCCAAAGTAGTGTCAAGAATTAGGTGGGCTAAAGAAGGAAGAAAGGGCTTTTTGCACAGGAGAAGCAATAATAAAGTATTGTTTGTTGTTATTATTTTTGTTTTTGCTTTTTTTAAATTTCTTTTTATGATAATAAATAGAGTTAAAACGAGAAATGAGTGTTGGATGTTAGGAGTGCAGCTAATAAAATCATTAATTTTTATGTGTAATATATGCCAGAATCTAGGGGACACATTGAAAACAGGTGGTTTAGTAAAAATCTACATATTGAATGGAGAGACTCTCACCTCAATTTTTCCTTCTACTTGATTTCTATATCCTACCCCGTTTCAGGTAGAAGGTTAAAGTGATCCATTCTGGGGAAATTAACCAACCTAAGATAAAAGAACTGTAGGTGCCACTATTTGGGCATCCTCTAATAAATCAGCCAGGTCCCTTCTCAGTCGTCCTGCAATGGAACCCATTATAAATCATGACCTTACAAACAATTTTCAGTCATCATATTAGTATATTAACTCTCTCTGAAGTATGAATCCAGACTGAAGGACCACTTTTTAATATGCTGATGTATAAAAAGAAGAGCTATCCTTTTTTCCCTATGCTTTATGTTACTTGCCTCTTTATCCATGACTGAAAGTGAAAAATAATGTAGATTTGTCATTAGAAAGACCTAATAATTATTTTTTCATTTCAAAAGAGTAAATTTCCCCCTTTTCATCCTTTCCTTTGTCCTTAAACCTAGAGTTTACGCTCTTTTTATACCAAGTATAAAGCAATAACATTAGCATTTACTTGACGAAGAATAATTAGCTAAAAGTATTACTTTGTACAAGTACTAAAAAATCTAATATAAAAGCTTATTGAAAATAAAAAGCTGTTAGTATTTTTTAAGATAATAGTTTCAATGCTGAGTAAGTAGTTTTCTCATAGGATAATTTCTGTAAGACCATTTCTCTCTGATAACAGTTTTCATTTCTTAATCCCTGATAATTGTTTCTCTTTTCTAATATTCACCATTTAGTTTTTTCCCTAATCATTCTTCTCACCTGACAGAATGTTTGCTTCATTCTCTGTATCAGACACTTTCACATCACTAGTATTTCCTTCTCACTCCTCCCTTGATTACTATCTTATAGTCCCAGTATTTATAGTCCCAGTATTTTATGTTCTCAGTATCTGCAATTTCATTATTCCATTCCTAATATAGCAGCTTCTTTTCTCCCAACATTTGGCACATAGTAGAGTCATATTTTTATGTCTTTTAGATGGGAAACGAACCTGGGGCCAAGACATCAAGAGTAGAGCAGCAGGACATTTCAAAAGAAGATTAATCTCAAGGATTAGAGATGGAAGAACTTGCAAAGAGAAAGTCTATACCAGAAGAAATCTGGAAATCTAAAGGCCAGTTTAAGAATCAGCAGCTAAACAAGGGGAATAATCTAGGGTAGGAGATAGCTACCTGCGCAAAAATTCCAACCAGAGAAAGAGATGTAGAATCTAATGAATTTGTGAGAATTTTTACTATAAGATCAATACTTGTTACAGAGCAGAGAGATCCTATAGAATTGTCATAAATATGGTACGTGTTGAAAGACACACAAACAAAACTCAGATTTAATTATACAAAGAAAGTATGATGGAAAAAAACCCTTGTAAATATAGTGAATATGGGAGAACCTTCAGAGGCCGTGTCTTGTTCAGCATCAAAGAACTCATTGTGGAGAGAGAGACCCTATAAATCTACTGAATGTGGAAAGGGATTTAATCAGAGTTCCCACTTAAGAAATCTTCAGAAAACTCATATAGGAGAAAAGCCCTACAAATGCAGGAAGTGTGGGAAGGCCTTCATTTATTGCTCAGTTCTTAATTCAACATCAGAGAATTCACAGTGGAGAGAGACCTTATGAGTGTACTGAATGTGGCAAGACATTCAGTCGTAGTACACACCTTACTCAGCATCAAAGAATTCACACCAGTGAGAAGCCCTGTAAATGTCTTGAATGTGGCAAGGCTTTTAATCAGAACACACATCTTACTCTACATCAGAGAATCCATACTGGAGAGAAACCTTATGAATGCAATGAATGTGGTAGGTCCTTTAGTCAGAGTGCACATCTTACTCAGCATCAAAGAATGCATACAGGAGAAAAACCCTATGAATGTAATGAATGTGAGAAAGCCTTCCATGATCACTCAGCTCTTATTCAACATCATATTGTCCATACTGCAGAGAAACCCTATGAATGTCATGACTGTGGGAAAGCTTTCAGTTACTGTTCGGACCTCTTTCAACATCAGAGAATGCACACTGGAGAGAAACCATGCCAATGCAATGAATGTGGGAATGCCTTTAGTGATTATTCAGCCCTTATTCAGCATCATAGAACTCACACTGGAGAAAAGCCCTGTGACTGTAATGAATGTGAGAAAGCCTTTGGTAACTATTCAGCTGTTATTCGACATCAAAGAACACATACAGGAGAAAAGCCTTATGAATGTAAGCAATGTGGAAAAGCCTTTAGCAGAAGCACATACCTTACTCAACATCGGAGAAGTCATACAGGAGAGAAACCATATAAATGCAATGAATGTGAGAAAACTTTCAGCCAGAGTTCATTCCTTACACAGCATACGAGGGTTCATACTGGAGAAAAACCCTACAAATGTAATGAATGTGGAAAAGCTTTTAGTGACCGCTCAGGACATATTCAGAGAACTCACACTGGAGAGAAGCCCTGTGAATGTAATGACTGTGGGAAACCTTTCAGTTTCTGTTCACCCCTAATTCAACATAAGAGAAATCATACCAGAAAGAAGCCCTATAAATGCACTGACTGTGGAAAAGCCTTCAGTGATCGGTTAGCACTTGTTCAACATCAGATAAATCACACTGGAGAAAATACCTATAAATGTACTGAATGTGGAAAAGCATTCAGTCAGAGTACACACCTCAAAAATCACCAGAAAACTCATACTAGTGAAAAATCCTATAAATGTAATGAATGTAGAAAGGCATTCAGTTACTGCTCTGGTCTTATCCAACATCAGGTCATTCATACTGTAGAAAAACCTTATGAATGCAGTAAATGTGGCAAAGCCTTTAGGCAGAGGACAGACCTTAAAAAACATCAGAAAATGCATACTGAAGAGAAACCCTATGAATGTAATGAATGTGGGAAAGCCTTTAGCCAGAGCACATATCTTACAAAACACCAAAAAATTCATAATGAAGAGAAATCAAATATACATACTGAGTGTGGGGAAACCATTAGACAAAACTCTTCTTTTTTACAACAATAAAAACTTCACGCTGGAGAGAAATTCTCTGAATGCCTTAAGAATTTGGTTAATATGGAGACCCTTCCCAGGGAAACAGAAGGAGGATCATAAAAACTGTTGACTGCTTAGAATGATCACATGGTTTAGTGGAGAGAGCATGTTTCTGGGTTTTAGAAGTCATGGATCTCAATCTCAGCTCTATTACTAACTAGATCTTTTACTTCAGGGTAAGTCACTTCATATCTTCAGGCCTTAATTTCCTCATCTGAAAAATTGGAAGGCCTGATTTGTTGAGCTTTAAGATCCTCAATTATTATATTTACTAGGAATTCAAGTTTCTATAAATGTGGTTCAGAATTGTGACTTATTTAATGTACATCAGGTATGACTCACAAGTGAGCTTGTAGTAGCTATTAAGGAGTCAATAAAGATATAAAGCACATGTCATGTAGCTGTTTATTACCCTTGTATTACTTTTCTAAAATACATGTCACAAATATTGAAGAAAACTAAGAGAGAAAGTGGTATAAGTTCTATGAATTATTACATTAGGGGTTTGAGATCTTTTCTTGATTAAGAATATGGTGTTAGATAAAAACTGAGAAAAAAAGAATCAGATTGTTGATAGATAAAGGCTAAGTTACCTGGATTTCATTCAAGCCCAATCTTGCAATATAAACCCTACTAAGTTGAACATGGCAATCATCATGTTCCAGCTGAGAAGGGGCTAGAAAACATGACTTAATGAGGTATCTAGAAAGGATGAAATTGGAAAGTGCATTTGTTATTTCCACACCTAAATACGTAAAGGCCATGTAAATGAGAGTAAATTTTGAGATCTAATATGTCTAGAAAAGTCTGTTGTCTTTTTCCTATGGTTACAGAGACAATGGCCTGAAAATATGAAGATTTACCTCAGAAGACTGTAATTTAAAACTGATCATCTAGGGACAGGAAAAAGCCACTTGTTATGGAACTTATCCAGTGTGTGGCTTTGGAGACTTAGTGCAGACTTACTGAGTTTGGAGTTGGTTTTGGTGTCCAGGACAACTGCTTACACATAAGGATAAATAATGGTGAACCTGCTAGACAGTCATTGAGAAAACTTACACTTAAAGCAGCAGTGTTTAAGCTTTTGTGAATGTATATGTCTGTCTGAGAACCTATTACTTTCATAGACTTTCTCACTGGAATAATGCATGGCACATTCATATGATTTTGTGAACAGCTACAAAATGAATATGTATAAAATTGGTAGTACTACATACACATAAGTACTAATAATTAATTTGAAAGCATAATAGAAAAAGTATTCACAATAGCTGTAGAAATATGAAATATAGGAATGAGTTTAATAACAAATATACAAGACAACAAAAATGATTTAGAAATTTTTATGAGAAAAGGCTGATTCATACATGAGGAATTATGTACCTTTATGGGATGAGTGAATAAAATTGTCAGTTAAAACCGTATTTGTAAGTTGAATTTAAGATGATTCTAATTTTAGTATGAAAGAAAAAAAGGGAGATGAGTGGGCAAAATATTTCCAAAATGTGATAATTCTGAGTTAGCATGGCAGGGGAACTGCAAAACAATTGATAGATCAATAAAGCACAAGAGAAAACACTGTAATTTTTTCAGTACATGAAAAAATTTAGCATATGAAATTCTAAATGAGGAGTGGTTCGATAATTCAGTAAGTTTTCAAAAAAGTAGCTAGTTGTTATAGAAAATACATTTCCAAGATGGTTAAACATTAAATATAAAATTGAAATTATAAGAGAAGTAAATATATATACACAAATACTTAAACACTCGGGATTGTGGGAGCTTTCTGAAATATTCACAAAAAATAATTGATAGCTATCTCTACCAAAAGACACTGAAATTTATGTTTCCAAATACCTTAAAAACTGAAAAATCACGCCGGGCGCAGTGGCTCACGCCTGTAATCCCAGCACTTTGGGAAGCCCAGGCGGGCGGATCACGAGGTCAAGAAATGGAGACCATCCTGGCTAACACGGTGAAACCCCGTCTCTACTAAAAATACAGAAAATTACGGGGCGTGGTGGCGGGCGCCTGTAGTCCCAGCTACTCCAGAGGCTGAGGCAGGACAATGGCGTGAAACCAGGAGGTGGAGCTTGCAGTGAGCAGAGATCGCGCCACTGCCCTCCTGCCTGGGCGACAGAGGGAGACTCCGTCTCAAAAAAAAAAAACCCAACTGAAAAATCAAATGACAGTTTGAAAAAAGAACTTTTCTGTGATATATACGATAGAAAAGAGATGTAATGAAATAAAACTCAAAAGGAAGAAGTTAAGGATCTGATACTGAAGAAATACAACGTGACCAATAAAACGTGAAAAAATATTTGGCCTAATTTGTTTTCAGAAAATTGTGGTTTAGAACAACTATTAGATACATTTTTTGTTTTAACAAATTCACAGAGTATTAAAAACAAATGCTACTCAGTTGTGGGGTTTGAGTATATTAATATACTGTTATGAATCCCATATTTATTGGTACAATATTTCTGGAGGCAGTTTGACTATATGCAACATGGGACTTAGAAATATTTACATTGGCTAATGTAGCATATTCATTTCTGGAAATGTATTTTAAGGATATATATACATAAGGATATACAGTCTTGGATATACATACAGACTTATCAACAAGGATTTGTTTAGATTAATTTTTATTGATACATAATTATATGTATTTATGAGGTACATGTGATATTTTGATGCATACAATATGTAATGATCAAATCAGGGTATTGAGGATATTCACTTCAAATACTTATTATTTCTTCGTATTAGGAACATTTTGAATTTTCTAGTTATTTTGAAATATAGTCAGGTGTTACTTAATGACATGATGTTTTCTGGGAAATGCATCATTGATACATAGATTTTGATGTGCAAACATGATAGGATGTACTTACACAAACCTAGACGAAATAGTCTACCGTACACCTGAGCTAAGCTATATGATATTATTGTTCCTAGACTACAAACCTGTACAGCATGTTACTGTACTGAATGCTGCAGGCAATTGTAACACAGTGGTATTTGTGTATATAAACATTAAAAAGGTACAGTTAAAGTACAGTATAAAATATTAAAAAATGGTACACCTATATAGGGTACTAACCATGAATGGAACTGGCAGGCCTGGAAGTTGCTGTGTGTAGGTCAGTGAGTGAGTGGTGAGTGAATGTGAAGGCCTAGAACATTACTGTATACTACTGTAAACTTTTATAAACCCTGTACACTTAGGCTACACTAAATTTACTTTATAATTCTTCAACAATAAATTGATCTTACTATAAACTAAACTTAGTTTATAAACTTAAAAGCTTTTAATTTTTTAACTTTTAACTCATTTTAACTTTTTGACTCTGTAATAACACTTAGTTTAAAACACAAACACATGGTATAACTGTACAAATATATTCTTATTCTGTAAACTATTTCCTATTTTTAGCTTTATAAAAAAAATCCTTTAAAACTTTTTTTTAAAAAACTGAGTCACAAACACATACATTAGCCTAGGCCTACACAAACTTGGTATCATCAAGATGTCGCTAGACAGGTATTTTTCAGGTCCAGCATAATCTTATGGGACCATCACGTATGTGGTCCATCATTCACAGAAAAGTTATTATGTGGTGCATGACTATATACAATAAGTTATTGCTAACTATAGTCACCCTATTGTGCTATCACACACTAGAACTTAAGCCTTCTATCTGTGTGTAGCCACTGACCAACCTCTCTTCATTGCCTCACCACTTCCCAACCTCTGGTAACTATCACTCTACTCTCTACGTCTATGAGATCAGCCTTTTGAGCTCCCATGTATGAATGAGAACATGCAATATTTGTCTTTCACTGCCTGGGTTACTTCACTTAACATGATGACCTCCAGTTCTATTCACATTGCTGCAAATGTCAGAATTTCACTCTTTTTATGGCTGATTAGTATTCTATTATGTATATATATCACATTTTCTTTATTTATCCATTCAAGAACACTTGTTGATTCCGTATCTTCACTATTGTGAACAGTACTGCAATAAACATAGGGTGCAGATATCCCTTTGATATACTGATTTATTTTCCTTTCTTTTTTTTTTTT